GCGGCGCCGGCGCCGCCACCCAGCTGGTGAGCGTGCTGGGCCGGCGGCCGGTCACGTTACCACGGGCCGACTTCACGCCCAGCGTGTCAGTGTCGGCCCCGCCGCCGGCGCCGGCTCCGACGCCGGCCGACGCGCCGCCCGCCAGCGCCGCCGCTGCCGCCGTGTCGCTGCACCAGCAGCAGCAGCAGCAACAGCACCTGACCGGCGGCACGCTGCTCTCGGCAGCCGCGACCGGCGCCGTGGCCGCCGCGCCGCCGGCCGGTACGCAGGCGGGCGCCGCGCCGCGCACCACCGCCGCCGCCGCCGCGGCCGCCAGCGGCTCGGCGCTAGCGCGGCTCGTGCTGACCGAGCCAGCCGGCCGCGGCGACGACAGTGACGAGCCGCCGCAGCCCGGCCGCCAGGAGAACGTGCTGCTCAAGAAGCTGCTGCAGAACGCCGGCTGCGCCACCACGGCACAGCCGGCCGGCACCGCGCAGTTCGTGCTGACGCCGTCGCTGGCCACCAAGCTGTCCTCCAAGCCGGTGGCCAGCTCGTCGATCTCGCCGATCGCGCGCCGCCAGCCGCAGGTGCCGAAGCCGCTGGTGACGCCGGCGCTCTCCCGGCAGCTGAGCTCCGGTGACACGGCCGTGGCCGGCCTGGTGGTGGTCACCAAGGTGGTGATGGTGACCACCAGCGGCCTGGTGGCGTCGCGGCCGCTCTCACTCGGCATGGTGCGCACCGTCAGCGCGCTGCCGGCGACGGCCGCCATCTCCACCCCCGTCTCCACCCCCACCTCGACTCCGACCCTGACCCCGACCGCGACCTCGATCCCGACCCCAACCTCGACCCCGACCGCGACCTCGATTCCGATCCCAACCTCGACCTCGACCCCAACCTCGACCCCGACTCTCGCTCCCCCTCACCCCCAGATCCCGGTCACTGCTCCCGCCGCCGCTCCGGCCGCACCGGCCGCCACCCTGGCCGCTGTCCCTGTCGCCGCCTCTGCCGCCGCCGCCTCTGCCGCCGCCGCCGCCGCCGCCTCGGCCTCCGTCGCCGCCGCCGCCGCCGCGTCGACACCAGCCTTCGTCCCGGGTCCGGTCCCGACCGCGTCCTCTGCCTCCTCCTCACCGGTGACGCTGTCGCCGCAGGTGGGCACGGCCGGTGTGGCGGGCCCGGCCGCCGCCGCCGCCGCCGTGCGCGACGGCGCTGGCACCCCGCAGACTCCGCCCGGGGCTGAGGTCGGCGCGTCAGCCGCCGGCACTCTGCCCTGCAGCTCTGCCACAACGCCCACCAGCTCCACAACGCTGCCGCCCGACGGTAAGTGACGCCTGGTCCGCTGGTGGTGGTGGTCGGCTGCCGGGGGTGTTCGGCAGCGGCTAGTAAATTGGGGCTGCGTGTTTTCCGAACTGAGGCGTGTGCGCGGCTGCAGGTGGAGGAAAGATGATTTAGATAGCCTTCTTGCTGTCTGCTACACTTGCTTGTGCTGCGCTCTGAGGACATCTGTCTGCCTGCAGTGCTGCAAAGGGCCCGGGAGGCTGAGGAGATGAAGAAGCAGAAACGGCGTCAGTACCAGCAGAAGCGTCGCCAGTCGCAGGGCAAGGAGGGCGGCACGTCCAAAAAGCGGCCCAGGAAGGTACGCCAGAACGCTGCCGTTGCTCACGTCTCGTGCTATTTTACAAGTAGACAGGAAACTTTTAACGCTCATTATTATCGGGCTGTTCAGAGGCTGTGCGTCGCTCTGTGAATCATTAGTCCGTGAGCAGCCTGCGGAATGGCCCCTCCCTCTCCCCTTCCCGCCTCCCGCGCGCGCTGACTGACCTGCGACCGCGCAGGGGTCGAAGCTGGAGGAGGACTACGACGCGTTCCTGGAGACGCTGATGTCGCAGCTGGCGGCGCTGCCGACGCTGTCGGTGCAGGAGCCGCCGGTGCCGGCCAGCCTGGGCGTGGTGGCGCCGCCGGGCGCCGGGCCGCAGGCGGCCAACCTGGGCCGGCCCGACTACGAGCCCCGCCTGGGCGAGCTCCGACTGCGCGACGGTGACACGCTGGAGGCGCGCCGCGGCGCCGGCGACTACTACAGTCGGCGGCCGTTCGGCGACCGGCAGCCGCTGCCCACCACGCACACGCTGGGACGCACCATACTCGGCTTCTACGAGCAGGAGTTTGGCAGGAAGGACGACATCAGTGAGTCGGACGGTTGGGCGACGCTTGCAGCTGGGTCTTGCGCGGTGGCCGCAGCAGATTGTAGGCGGCCAGGTCTTATGAGTCAGCAGGTCGTATGAGTCTTATGTGTCGGTGGCGGGTGTGGCATCAGTGGTGTGGTGTGGCATCTGACATTTCGAGTTTTAGCAATATGTCCTAAGACACTTTTCGTGTCGTGCCTTTCTCTGTGCCGTGCCGCCGCGCCCGATCCTTCACGTCACTGGCCTGGAAACGCTGTCCACGCCTGCGCTGGTCCGGATGGCCAGCTTTGGTCAGCTGATGGTCAGCTGATGATGGTCAGCTGTGATCAGCTGGCCATCGTCACAGCTGGCCCGCACAGTGACCTGACCAGTTAGGTGGCCCGCCCCGAGTGACGGCGGCCGGCCCGTTTGCAGTTCCGTGCCGCCGCGGCCGGCTGGACGGCCTCTCGGGCGGCGGCAGCACGCCGGCCCGCGACGCCGACTCGCCCGACACTGTCATCAGCTCGTCCTCGCCGGAGACCGTGGTGCCCGACTGCAGCTACAGATACCCCGGTAGGAACGACGGCCGAACGCTGGACCCGTCCCGACCTTCTGCCCCTCGGCCGCTCTGCCCGGCGACCATCGGGCGTGTTCTCCGGCTACCCGCCTTCATTTCTCACCCCGTGGTGAATGTCTTCGGTAATCTTGTGGCGAGTAAAAGACCCCTGTGTGATATTGCCGCCTCGTCCCCGTTGTGGTTCCCAATGTCACGTTCTTAACTGGCGTTATTCCTGCGAGCACCTTACTCCTGTCATTATTCCTGCAGTGAGAAGCACCTCGCCATGTCCCCGTCTGAGGTTTCTAGCATGCGACCCATCGTTGCGCATGGCTCCTGCTATTGATTCCCGTGCTGGATATGACCTGACCTGACCTTGGCTGACCGGTGGCTGCGTGATGGGGCGCCAGGCGGCCGCGGCCGCCGCTGGCTGTCGTGTCCGCGCGCCTGCTACTCCTCCTCCATCACGCCCTGCTCCTCGGACGAGTCCTGCTCCGACTCGGACCCGTCGCCGCCGCCGCCGGGCGCCGGCCACCTCTGCCGGCCGCCGCCGCAGCTCGAGCACAACTACTGCCAACCGGAGGGCGGGCGGCGCGCGCGGCCGCCCTGCCGCTGCTGGAGCGACGCCCGGCCGCGCGGCAGGCGCGGCTCGCACTCCGGCGACGAGCCGCCGCCACCAGCGCGCAACGTCTCGCCCATCGTCGTCTTCCAGGACTGCGAGCCGGCAGTGGCGGCGGTGCGGGCCCCGCCGGCGCCGTCACTGCCGCTGCCGCTGCCGCTGCCGCTGCCGGCGCCGGCGCCGGCGCCGGCCGAGGATCCAGCGACCTATGTGCTGCTGGCGGCGGAGGCGGCCTGCGGACAGCCGGAGCTAGCGGCCCTGCAGGAGGTGGAGACCACCCCAGAGCCGGCGGCGTCGCGGCCCGAAGTGGCCGAGCAGCCCAGAGCGACTGGGCAAACATATCTGATCGGGCAGCCCGAACTGGCCGAACAGTCCGAACTGGCCAAGCAGTCCGAACTGGCCGAGCTGTCCGAACTGGCCGATCAGCCCAGACCGACTGGGCAGGCCAATCTGATCAGGCAGCCCGAACTGGCCGACCCGTCGGAGCCAGCTGAGCAGCCTGAACCGGCGCCCGAGATGTGCCAGCCGAGCCCAGCGCACTCGAGTCCGTCGGTGGCGCCCTGGAGTCTGATCGATCTGGTGCCCGAGCTGACGAGCTCCCCGGAGGTGGCCGACTCGCCCCTCCAGCCGGCGACCGGCGCTGTCCGCACACACGCCCAGCACGAGCCGGCCGACGCCGAGTTTATCGAGTTTCTGGAGCAGCACAGCCGCGGCCACTCGGCGGCCGGCTCGCAGCCGGCGACGCCGGTCACCAGTGACGCGGCCGAGGCCGAGCCGGCGCCGGCCGGCCGTGCCGCCTGCCCGGCCGCGGCCGAGCCGGCCGGCGCGACCGCCGACTGGGACGTCCCCGCTGCGCCGCCGCTGGCTGCCGCGGCGAGCGGCGCGGAGCCCAGGGAGGCGCCGACGTCGGCCGGCTCCGAGCCGCTGCTGATCGTCAACGGCCCGGCGGTGGCGGCGGCGGCGATGACCGACTCGGCCAGTCGCGCCCCGGCCGCCGGTCTGGGCACCGCCTCTATTGTCGGCGGCCGGCTGATCGTGCACCAGCAGTCGCAGCCGGACCGGCCGCCGCCCAACATCATCCGTATCCGTGTCATCCCGCCGGCGCGGCCCGAGGCGCCGCCACCTCCGCCGCCTCCGCTTCCGCCGCCCCCACCCACGCCGCCGCCTCCGCCTCCGCGGCAGTTGCGGCGGCCGATGGACGGCCGGCCCCGTATGCAAATGCTGGGCCCGGGCCCGCCGCATGCCCGTCTCGGTCAGGGTAGCCGCAACTTCACGCGTGTGTTCATTGGACCGCAGCGCGGCTGCAGCCGGCCGGCCATGGTGACGCACCCAGCGGTGCGGCCTTGGGCGCGCGGCCACGGCCGGCCCCGCCAGGAGGCGCCGCTGGTCGGCCGGGGCCGCGCGCGCGGCGGCCGCTCGCGCCGGCCCTGTCGCTGCCGCTCGTGCCAGGCGAGCGGCGTGTTCGGCCAGCCGCCGCAGCCGGCCGTCGGGCCGCAGCTGGACGTCGACGGCCGCTGGCTGCCGCTCGGGCCGCTCGACCTGCAGATGATGTGGCGCCACCAGTACCGTGCGCCGCCGGGCGCGCCGCCGCCACCGCTGTCGCCGCAGCCGTCGGCGCAGCAGCAGCAGGCGCCGCTGCTGGCCGGTGTGGACCCGGCCGTGGTGCTGGCGGCGCTGCACGGCCTGGTGCGCGGACAGACACCCTCGCAGCTGCAGCTGGCGCTGCTGCAGCGGCTGCTGTCCGATCCGCGGCAGCTGCTGAGCCGGCAGCTGCCGGAACCGTTGCTGAACGCGGCGCTGGACCGGCTGCTGGCTTGGCTGCCGCAGCTGGCGCCGCGCGGCCGGCTGCAGCAGCAAGAGCTCGGTCGCCCAGCAGGCCCGCTGCCGCAGCGGCACGGAGCGCGGGCGGGCTACCGAGCGGCACTGGCGCAGCACGGTCCCCAGACGCCGGCGGCTCAGTACCGGCAGCCAGTGCCGCTGCGGTATCAAGCCGCGATGCCGTACCAGCCGACACTGGTACCGGCGCAGCAGCCGTCAGCGGCGCTGCCGTACCACAACACCGCACGTGCGCTGTACCAGTCTGGACCTCATCCGCCGTACCAGTCAGGATTGGTGCCCCAGTCCGGGGCACAGTCAGCACCTCCCTACCAGCTGGCACCCACACAGCGCAGTCAGTTCGCGTCGATGCCGCCTTACCAGCAGTTGAGCCAGCCGCGTCAGCCGACTCCTGTCCTGTACCAGTCCGCCCCGGAGCCGTACCAGTCCGCCGCGGAGCCGTACCAGTCTGGGGCTGTGCTGTACCAGACGGACCCGTTGCTGTGCCCACCGGCGGAGTGGCCGACTGCGGCGCCGGCTGCCGCCACCCCGTCCAATCCGCAGCCGTGGCCGGCGGCCGCCCCGTCCTGCCGTCGGCCGGCGCCGCCGTGGGCCGACGGGCTGTCCTCTCCTATGCCGGCGGGCCTGGAGCCGCCTCCGGACGCTCCCGCTCTCCTGGCGCCTCCTGTCCTCCTGCCCGACAGCTGTGAGTACGCCCGAGCCGGGTCCGACCGCCGACTCGCGCCGCGCCGGCCGTCTGCTCCCGCTGCTCGCGCTCCTCGTCCTCGCTAGCACGTGTCCAGCCAGGTAGCGGTGGAATGGTGCTATTCTCGTCCGATCCGGAGTGTTTGTACGGTTGAGGTCGAAGCTGGAATTGGTGGAGTTGGGAGAAATCCACGTTAGTTTTCATCGCTTCGTCTTGCCGCCGGCTCAGCTGGCCCGGCCTGCTGACGCAGCGCGGCCGTGACCGCCGTTACCTGACACTGCGCTGTCGGCGCTGCAGGGCTGCGGCTGATAGAGGACGACTGGCTGGAGCCGCCGGAGCGGGCCCGCTGCGCCTCGCCTGACATCCCGCTGATCGCGCCCGTGCCGGTCCGGCCGCGGCCTGGCGTCACCAGCAGCCAGCTCAACGGCATGGTGAGTCACCGGCGCCGCCGCCCCGGGCTCGGCGCACGCGGCTCCGAGCCCCGAGACGCCGCGACAGCGTCCCCGGGCTGGTCAGCGGGGCTGTGCAGCGGCATGTCGAGTGTATGTACTTACCAGGAGCGTCGAAGGCGTTGGGTTAGTAGCATGCTAAGTGTAGAACCCTGTTTACACCGCGGTGTGCTGTTGTCATTGGACGGAGTGGTCAATCTAAGTCGAGGCATTAGTTTTGCGCGCAAGGGCTCCCTGGGAATTCACTAAACAGCTGATTCCATTGACGAGGTCACACGGTGTCGCAGTCGACGCGAACCGTGCAGCATGCGTCCGTTCCGCCCCCTTCCCCCACAGAAGTCCGGTTACCCATGTGACCATGTGACCGGTGACGCCACCCCACCCCGTCCCGCAGGACAAGGAGAATAAGGAGCTGTCGCTCAAGTCTCACCTGGGCATCGAGTCGCCGCTGCCGCCGCGCGACTCCGGCCAGGTGACGGTGACGCTGACGCTGACCTCTGAGAAGGCGCAGGACGTGGGCGCCGTGCTGCGCAGCCTGGCCTCGCTGCTGAACATCTCGCCGCCGTCCGGCTACCAGGTCATCGAGCGCACCGGCACGCCGCCCAGCCAGCGACTCGGCCTGTACCGGCAGGCGCGCGGCAAGGACGGCCGCGACCAGAGTGAGTGCGAGGTGCCGGGGCCGGCCCGAGGCGTCCGCCACCCCGGCCCGCTCCGCGTCCGCTGCCGTCAGCGGCGGCCCGGGGCGGAGCTGCTGGACGGCGCAGGGCAGGGACGCACCAGCCCCGCTGTGGCCCTGGTATGTGGGTGTGGGTGTGGGTGTGGGTGGACGTGCGTGCGTGCGTGCGTGCATGCATGCATACATGCGTGCGTGCGTGCGTGCGTGCGTGCGTGCGTGCGTGCGTGTGTCGAAGCGGGGTAGGCACGATGAGCGGCGGCCGGGACTCTGCTGAGGTGGTGCGGTCAGGCCAGTCCCCACCACAGGCTGCTGAGGTGGTACAGTCAGGCCGGAGTCCCCATGACAGGCCGCACCGGGCAGCCACTCGACTCCCAACGTCATCCATACCAACACGCCCGTGAATCATTATTTAGACATGTAAATGCAACTGCTTTGTTTGCCGAAGCCAGTGCTGCTGTTGATGACGGGGTGGTTTTGAGAATAGGAGACTCTCCTTCCGCTCGCCTGAGCGGCTGGCAATCCTGTTCAGAGGTGGTGGCGTCCGTGAGCCTGTAGCTGAGGCGAGCCTGTAACTGACGCGAGCCACACCGTCTGCCACTGCAGTCGTCGACATCCAGACGATCCTGAACGGCAAGGCGCGCTTCTGCCAGTACTGCGAGGTGGTCATCCTCAGCGACATCATCACCAAGGCCAAGACGGAGCTGCCGTTCGTGCGCGACGCCGACCAGCTGGCGGACGAGGTGCACTTCTGCAGCCAGTCGTGCTACGGCCAGTTCACCAGCAGCCAGCTGACGCCGGCGGCGGCCGCCGAGCGGCGCGCCGCCGCCGTGGTCGACCATACCGGCGGAGACATGTTCACCAACGGCGCCGACGTGAGTGGCCGCGCGCCGGCGGCGACGGGCGCGCGGCGGCCATCTGCTGGCTGAGGGCGAGGCTGGGAAACACGGCAGCTGTGGGATCTTTTTGTCTGCGTGTTGGGCGAGACTCTGCGTCTCCAGAAGTCTCGTAGTTTTGTCATGCAGTCACCAGGTGCGCATTACGGCGCGCCGAAAGCCACGAGTGTGTGACCCCGATGGGCCAGCCTGGAGTCGTTTGAGAGCGGAGTGTGACAGTCTGCCTACCCGGCAGCCCTTCACCAAGGAGCTGCTGAGCGTGCGCGAGCGGCAGCTGTCGCGGCACGAGTCCGGCGACTCGAGCCGCCACCTGTCGGGCGGCGCCGGCAGCGACAGGAAAGAGGAGCCCGGCAAACGCTGGAAGAACATCCGCTACCGCACCTGGTCAGAGGCCATCCGGCTGCCTAAGAAGTACCGTAAGCCGTCCGACAACGAGCTCACGCAGGTGGGTGCTGGTGCACAGGGACTGGCGCGGCGGCCGGCCGGCTGACTGACAGACGGACGGCGGGGTTCGGTGGGCCCACGTTTGGGGACGGGGGACGGGGATCGTCAGTATTGACGTGTAGGAGGCTTCGGGGAGAGGGGCTGCGGCGCCGATGTTTATTTGTTATGGCCGTTTCCGCATGTGACGCGTATGACCGTTAACCGCACACGCTTCGCAATAACTCATTGTCTAGGATGCAGCTATCACTCTTCACTTTGAACAAAGAGTGCCCAGTCGCTCACGTCGGGCACCCAATCAATGCCGCGGAGATGCCGGGCCCGCGGAAGGGGCTGACTGCGGGCGGGTGCCAGCGCAACTCCCCTGACGCGGCGGTGTCGCGCGCGCCGCAGCTGCTGTTCCAGATGGGCATCTGCATCATGCCGAGCCGGATGCCGGAGGAGGTGCGCCGCTGCCTCTTCTGCCAGCTGATCGGCGACGCCATGTCGGACGGACCGGCGCGCCTGCTCAACTTCGACGTCGACAAGTGGGTGCACCTCAACTGCGCCCTTTGGGCCGACGACGTGTACGAGACGGAGAGTGGCTCGCTCGTCAATGTCGACGTGGCGCTGAAGAAGTCGCTCAACGCCGCCTGCACGCTCTGCAAGGAGACGGGCGCCTCCATCAAGTGCTTCAAAGTGCGCTGCGACAAGACCTACCACCTCACCTGCTCTGTCAAGGACAAGTGCACGTTCTACAAGAACAAGGTGAGCCGCGCGGCAGGCGACGGTCATGTGCAGCCGTAGCTGGTGCGAGGGTGAGGTCAGGTTGAAGGTGAACCGCGGCAATGACTGGACTAGTGCACCCGCTAACGGTGGACATGAACCGCCTACAGCCGAGTGGGGTGCTGTCATGAGCGGCCTTCCGCACCAGCGGGACGTGTTGTTAGCTGATGCGTACCTGCGTGCTCGTCCTAGTTGAGCCGGTCCCTTTCTGCGTGTCTTTGGCTGCAGTCAAGTGTCGCGGGGAAGGCGATGCTCCCGCCGTGTCGGTGCGTGGTTTTGAGCCGACACGGCGCGTGTCTGCGCTGTCGCCGCCGCCGGTCCGCCGAGCTGCCACTCCAGTACCGCTCTCCGGCCGTGCCGCTGTGTGGAGCGAGCCGCGTGCGCCGGCTTAGACGGTCGCCCCGCTGCCGCAGACCGTCTTCTGCCGCGAGCACATCCCCAAGGGCGAGAAGGACAACGAGCTGACCACGCTGGCCGTCTACCGGCGCGTCTACATCGAGCGCGAGGAGAACAAGCAGGTGCGCCGCCTCTGGAGACCGGCGACGGGCGGCGGGCCGTCCGGCTGACCGCCTGGTCGCTGCGCACGCTGTGATTCGGCCGAGAGATGCGCCACCGAGTGTACTGGCCTCTCCCACTCTGACTGCAGAGGAGCTCTTGTTACGATCTCGCTGTGCGTTCAACCGGACTTCAACTGTGGTGGGATAGCGGGTGGTCTGGGCTCGTCTTCCACGCGTCTGACGAGCCTCGGGCCTTGGCCGCTAGGTGGCGGTGGTGATGCACCAAGCCGGCTCGGACCAGTCTCACCTGTTGCGCGTGGGTACGCTGGTCTTCCTGTCGGTCGGCCAGCTGCTACCCCACCAGCTTAGCGCCTTCCACACCGGCAACTACATCTACCCCATCGGATACAAGATCGTGAGTGCCGGCTGCTCAGCACTGGCCACCTCTGATGCGTGTATATCGGTAGTGGCCGTGTGTCTGGCGCGGCGTTCATGGCGCCGGAGGCAACTCAAGCGCGTCCTTGCAAGCGCCACACCATTGACTGTGCAAGGGGATTCTGTGCATGACCATGGCTCATCAAAAAACTGTAGCGTCCATTTAACATCTTGGACTATCATCTAACATCTATCTAGACTCGTGATTTCTCCTCATGACTACATTCATGCCACTTTTTTGCTACATTTATTCGCAAAATCTGATCGCCGAAAGCGGCCGAATTGTTTGTTGCGCGCTGGTATCAGCTCTGGGCGTGGGAGGCCTCGCCTGCTCGCCTCATGTGACGCGCGTCTCCGTCCGTCCGCCCGCCAGATCCGGCTGTATTGGAGCTTCCGACGAGTCAACAAGCGGTGCCAGTACATCTGCTCCATCCAGGAGCGCGACGGCCTGCCCGAGTTCCAGATCGTGGTGCGGGAGCCGCCGCTCAAGGAGATCACATTCACAGACGCCACCTGCCTGGGCGTCTGGAAACAGGCGAGTGTTCAGTGGCGCTGGCCTCGGGGGCAGGCGAGGGTGCATAGGACCGGGGCTCGGTCCCAGGCACGCGAACGAGGGCTTCCCTTATGGTCTCCGTGCCTGGGAACAGGCCAATAACCTCCGCTGCGCTTTCATGGTTTGGAAAACTGGAAGACGACTTCTGCAGGCCGAGGCTCTTCAATTAACGGTCAGCGGTCCGCCGTGCAAGTGTGAGCGCCTGGTCTGTTGCCTGGCACCTTCAGCTCGCGTGCCGCTCTGCACGCCGCCGGACGACCGTGTGATGCCTGCCTGACGCCCGTCTGACACGCCTGTGACATTCGTGTGACACCCGTCTGACGCCCGTGTGACGCGCGCGTCGGCAGGTGCTGAAGCCGCTCAGTCGGACGCGCGAGGAGGCCGGCATGGTGCGCCTGTTCCCGCAGTACGTGACCGGCGAGGACCTGTTCGGCCTCACCGAGCCGGGCATCATCAAGATCCTGGAGTCGCTGCCGGGAATCGACACGCTCACCGACTACCGCTTCAAGTACGGCCGGAACCCGCTGCTCGAGCTGCCGCTGGCCATCAACCCCACCGGCTGCGCGCGCTCCGAGGCCAAGCTGCGCACGCACTTCAAGCGGCCGCACACGCAGCGGCCCAGCGGCGGCCACTCGCGCGCGCTCGCGCATAGCAGCTACACCAGCGACAGCAGCGCGCCGTACTCCAAACAGTACGTGCACTCGCGCAGCTCCCAGTACAAGAAGATGAAGCAGGAGTGGCGCAACAACGTCTACCTGGCGCGGTGAGCTGTCGGCCGGGCGCTGAAGGGGGGGGGGGCGTATCGTACTGATACCGGATGTCACTATTGTCGTCATAGCTGAAACTATGATGCGAAGGTCTGCAGCCGTGTCCCACTCCGTCGGGGGCGTTATACTCTACCGAAGACGTGATGCCGCTGGCGGACGACCATCCTATGGGTGATGGTTGAGTGGCGATCAGACCTCTCGCGCTGCTTCTGGGTGGGAGTTCCGATACACCGCGCTGACGTATCGGCCGCGTCGACAGGTCAAAGATCCAGGGCCTGGGTCTGTACGCGGCGCGCCCCATCGAGAAGTTCACCATGATCATCGAGTACATCGGCGAGGTGATTCGGAACGAGATCGCCGAGTGCCGCGAGAAACGCTACGAGGCGGCGGTGAGTACGCCGGCTGCACGGGACCGGGCAGCCACGGCGCCGGGCACGGTGGCCGCAGGACGAGCGATGCTGATCCCAGTCGGCGCTGCTTCAGCTGCGACTGCGGAAGCCAGCGGTGACGGAGCGCCCTCCGCTGACGCTGATGCTGGCCGGTCCGTTGCCCCCAGAACCGAGGCATCTACATGTTCCGCGTGGACGAGAACCACGTGGTGGACGCCACGCTGTCGGGCGGGCTGGCGCGCTACATCAACCACTCGTGCAACCCCAACTGCATCACAGAGAGCGTGGAGGTGGACCGCGGCCACCACAAGATCATCATCTTCGCCAACCGACGCATCCAGCGCGGCGAGGAGGTGAGTCGGTGGCGGCCGGAGGGCGGCATCACCCACATGACTGGGTCACGGTCCACCCACGTGACTGGGTCACGGTCCACCCACGTGACTGGGTCATGGTCTTCTCATATGGCTGGGTCATGGTTTACTCATATGACTGGGTCACGGCCTACTCATATAACTGGGTCATGGTCTTCTCGTGACTGCGGTTGTGGCCCATCAGTCAACTTTCATGCAGTGAACGCGGCTGCTTCTGCAGACCGTGGACAGTATCCATGTGCGCTGAATCTGGCCGAGCGTGATGGTGAAGGCCTTTGATCCTGATCCCGTATTCGCTGACCGGCATCGATTCGGTGCTGGTGTGCAAGCCACTGGATGCAGATGCCCGGATCAGGCTGCACCGCCTCAAGTGATAACGATCCCCTACCGCCTCGCGCACCCGGCGCACACGCGCGGTCATTGACACTCAAACAAACGGCCACTTGCACCACACTTACACGCCACAGGTGATCAGCGGGCTATCCTCGCGTTGCAGCGCCAGATGCGCTGTGGTTCAGATTGGCTGAGCTGTTATGCTGCTGAGCGGTCACGCCTGTCGTGGTCAGCAGCTGTGCCAGGCCGGCGGCGCTGACGCGCTGTCCGCCTGTCGCGGTCAGCAGCTGTGTCAGGCCGGCGCCGCTGACGCGCTGTCCGCCTGTCGTGGTCAGCACCTGTGTCAGGCCGGCACCGCTAACGCGCTGTCCGCCTGTCGTGGTCAGCAGCTGTGCCAGGCCGGCGCCGCTGACGCGCTGTCCGCCTTTTCAGCTGGCGTACGACTACAAGTTCGACATAGAGGACGACAGCAACAAGATCCCGTGTCTCTGCGGGGCGCCTAACTGTCGCAAGTGGATGAACTAGGGCTGCCCAGGGTCCACCGGGCGGGACTCGCCCCAGTTAGGGGCGACGGGGGCTCGCGAGGGACAGGGCGCAGCTGGGGCCGTTGTGGGGGCGACTGACGGACGTGGGATGTTTGAGCATCACGCCAGCTGGGGTCTCGCGTCTGTCCGCACCGCCCCCAGCAAGCGTTGCGTTATTGTATTGTTGCACTCTAGGTTTAGCGGCATTGTTTGTACGACACGCCGTGTCCAGTCGTGCGTTGGCATTATCGTCTCGTCATTTGCATCATACGTGAATACACATGTTGAAGCTGGCTACGGTTTCGTTTCCATGCCGATTCCCTGCTTGACTCAGAAAGAGTTGTGATTTGTTCTCACACATGGTGTGGCAAACCATACGAGCTCGCTCGGCGTGCAACTCCTCCGGACAGACTGGAAACCTACGGGTGTTGGCTCTGTGCAGCAGCCAGCCTGGTCGACCGGTCACCTGAATGATTTGGCTGACGCGACTTAATCACCCTATTTAAATCACAACACCCAGTGCACTTCACCGTCCCCCCCCCAGTTTCCGCACTTTTTTGGTCTCCGAAAGTGTTTTTATCGTCATTTTGCGTTTGTACATAATACTCGATGCGGCCATTGCGACTTCCTGGCCGTGCCGCCTACTCGAAACGCGTGGTGGTTCGCCGAGTCGCTCACGCGGCGGACAGTCCAGCATTTGCCGTGATCCGTGCTTGGGCGCCAAAGAGATCTCTGAGGGAGCATACAGCCACGAAACTTTACAGCCGGGTGATAGCGAACTGAGGTGACCAGACAGCTGCTGTGGTCGGCACTGGCATGTCCCGCGTTTGACTGCATACCCTGGCCTGGAGGGGGCAGGGCAGAGCGCTGTACTCCAGCGGCCTTAATCTCTGTTGCGTGTCGTAGTCCTGCGACGTCTGCGACAGAGCACCGCCAACAGTTTCCGACGACAACGGTTGTGAAATGACACCGGTTCTGACTCCATGCCGGCTTCAAATCAAACTCACCAACGTTCCAAATCGAAGCATGTTCTGTAAATGCCGCGACCCGACGCTGGCCACCTACGACACATCGTGCACACACCACATCGAGCAGATTCTACACGCCGCGTCGGCGCCTCTCACGGTGACCACACCACACCACACCTACAGCAGACACGATGAAAGACGGCCGAAGTGTGCTGGCGCACCACGCGCGCACGGGCAGGACATGGGCCAGACAGACAGGTTACGCCGCCGCGCCGGCCGGCCGAGGGCCGCAGGGTCATCGGCTCAGACGCGCCGCCGCACAGCGAACCGCCGACTGGTGACGGGCGCCGAGTCTCCGCCACTCGACGGTTGAAGGGCGCGTGGGTGACGTCCCGGCGGCCGCCGCCCGTCGCCTGACCGAGAGCGCACGATGCGGTACCGGTCGCGCGCCTCGAGTGACGAGCCGAGGCGCCACTGGCCACGTATGACACCATGACTCAACACACACACTAAGAAACGGAAGAGCAGTGGACAGAACGTCCCGGGCCGCCGGCGCGCCTGTCCAGCGCAGCATGAGCCCATCTGTAGACATATGTACAGCAGCAGCTGCGGCCAACAGCCACTTCGCAAAATCCTCAGGCGGTCTGCAGGTAAATTGAAGACGGAATTGTACCAAGTCATTTCGAGGGAGTTAAAACGCATCGGGTCCCAGCGTTTCGAGTGAGCGCATAACCTATGGGTGTTAGTCACCGGCATAATCTCAGTGAGGGAGCGTCAGGCGTTGGGCACCCACAGTCGGTCGGCTCCCCGCTCTCCCGCGTCCACGGGCGGCGTATCGTGCGCACTCTGCGCCGTCCGGCTCCGGCTCCGGCTCCGGCTCCGGCTCCGGCTCCGGCTCCGGCTCCGGCTCCGGCTCCGGCTCCAGCGCCGGCGCCGGCACCGCCCCGGGACGCGGCAGAGGAGACTCGGACGCCTCGGGCCGCCCCGGAACTAGAGCCGACGCCGCCCGCAGCACGCGGCTGCCGCGCCGCACCGCCGGCCACTACGGCTCTATGAACTCGCGCAGCAGCATGGTGCGGCTCTTCTCGACGCGGCTCATGTGGTTCTCGAGCTCGCCGCGGTCGGTGGTCTCGGCGCGCTCCACCTTCCAGGACAGCTCCTCAATGTCGGCCTCCAGCTGCGCCTGCTGGTACTCAAACTGTAACACGGGGCGAGCCCGTCAGCGCGACAGGCAGCCATGCCGTGCTCGCTCGAGCGATCTCCCGGCACCGAGCCCGATGTCATCTGACTTCTCTCGGAGGTGGGTCTCCGCTTCTGTCGTGGCCTCTTGGTGCATTCTAGACATTATCGCACTTAGTCTGGCGCGAGTCATTCACCACATCATTGCTCAAGACCAACATCGAGACGCAAAGTCGGCTCTAAGTCACGCCGCACAACGCTCAAACATCTTTACTCAAAATGTCAGCATACTCCAGTCGTTTCCTCCATCGAAAGACACGCCCGTGGAGCCTCACATGTCACAGACACGCGGCTTCACTCACCAGCGCCTTGCGGGAGCCAGACTCCAGGTAGTAGGCGTACGGGTACGTGTACTGCAGCGTGTACCGGCACTTGGCCAGCAGCGCGGCCGCGTCTGGAAGCCGAACGCCGGTCAGTGCACGCCCGATAGATGCGCAACCGGGGCTGAGATGGGTCACCAGGCCGGCGGCAGGCACGGGCGGACTGACAGCAGCAGTCGCCCCGTACAGACGGCCCGCCCCGCCCACCGGCCAGCATGGCTGGCATTGCTTGACGGCGCATGCGATTCAATGGGAGCTCCGCCGTCCAATGACGTTAAAGCGCGGTTCACATTCTACCATTATTTTAGTCGACTCGCCGGAGCATGACGCGTACTTTGTCTGATAACCGGCGTCCATGGCACGGGCCAGTTCAGTTTTCCCGCCCGGTTCGCACTCGCGCCAAAGGCTGAAGTTCACGTTACGCCATCACACACTCCCCCGGAATGCTGCAAGCCCGAGGTCCGATCGAGAGTCTGCCAGAGCCCTGGGCCGGGCCGCGCGCCTAACACCCACCCAGCAGGTACTGCCAGTCTATCCAGGTGCCGCTGGCGTCGTTGACCTTCTGGTTGATCCGGTCCACGATCTTCTGCCGCGTGTGGGCCTCCAGTGCCAGCGACTTGGAGTGATTCTCCCACTGCCGACCGCAGGGCATCATGTCAGCGAACACCTGAGCACCTGTCCGGTGTTAAAACCGCCGGGAACTTTCAGGTGTCCGCAGAACAGCATGACTACCTAACAATAACGGCGCCCTATAACCCAAGCAGCCGGCGCGCCCTAAAACCCGCATCATTATCAATAATCACACGGCAGCAATGCCCCACAACCACCGCGCCCAGCTGACTTGGACGGTGCACGCTTCCGCTACACCGACCGGCTTCAGCACGAGCGCACCGCCAGCGGCTGACTGATCAGCGCCGCGTTTGGCGACGTCGGCCGGCCACCGGGGCCGGCGGCAAGCCCCGCCCCGTACCCGCTCGTAGTAGTGCAGGTACTTCTTGAGCGCCTCGCGTGCCTTGGCGTGGACCGAGTCGCTGGCGATGTTGGGGTTCTCCTTGTACCGTGAGCACTCGTAGTACTCGGACCCGTGGTTTTTCCAATTGCCTGGCGGGGTCGGCGACAATGTCACGAGCAGCGCCGCACATCTTTTAGATCAGATTGGAGATCGGTAGATCAGTCAAGCGTGAGGAAACACCAGCGATTTAACGTTGAAGGAAACGTTCTGATGACAGTCCGCATATCTCGCCTTAAATTAGCAATATTTTGGTTATGCGTGCTGAAGGCGTTAGCATGAATAAATAAATGTAAAAATACTAGTTTGATCATACTCTATCATGACCTCATGCAAGACAGTAGAAGTTGCATGCAAGACAGTAGAAAAGATGATCTTTCCGACGGCACCAATACTCTGTTATCCTTATCCACAGCCAGCCATTCCAGTATAGGGAACAGACGCAACATAGCTCAGGAGAACCACAAAAAGCCCATACTCACCTAGACACATCCAACAGAATTCAAACTTGCAGCTGAAACACTGCATATGATTGCATCCCCCGTTCTTCTCTATACAGATATGGCACTTTGGGCACTGGAACAAACAACACACCACGTCACCAGGCGAAGCGGCGGCGGCGGCAGGCAGTGACCGAACTATCCACACCCAGCGCCCAGGTGCACGGGGCAGCGAGGGGCAGCGTCGGCACGCCGCGCACACTGTCACGCAGCTGTTGCCGTGACGCGGATCAGCGTTCGTGACGCGGAACGCGGCCGGACGGCCGACCGCCGCGCGGGGCGTCGCCGCTCTCACATCTTTGGTATTGGCCGATATATAGTTGGCCGTCTCGCTGTCGTCCGCGCACTTGGTCAGCCACTTCTTGACCGTGTCGCAGTCGGCTGGCGCGTGGTAGTCGATGCCGCACCGGAAACTGGCCAACGTCGCCCCGCATCAGCACAAGTGGGCTGCACAGCCGGGCTGCCAGTTCTGACCACACGGTCTTATAGGCACACACGTGACAAACATGTGACACGCTAATAGTACATAGTCATGTTGTTTCTGAATTTAGTGGCCGGCGACGGTGGCGGAAACAGGACAGTACAACAACTTGATGTAAGCAGGAAAGGCCGTCAGCTCTTTTTAAGTTTGAGTTCAGAGCTCGTATGCTGAGTTACCGACCTTCGATATACCAGGAGGTACTAGTTAAACTACATACGGCAAACAATGACTACCCTGACCGCACTCGTCGCTCTAAGCTGCGTGTGAACGGAAGCTGCTGTCTGATGCACTCGTTATCATAAGCACAGCTGAAATGTCGATTCCAATCAATTTACCAGTTTTTTTGCTCTGTAGCGTCGTTAACTAGTACCTCCCGGCACATGGAACATCGATAACTCAGCAAAGAACTCTGAACTCATAAACAACAAAACACAGGGCGAGCGTAGCGAGTGTTGAAATGACGCGGCCCCACCAGACTAAGCACGAAAATGACACATACACAGGTAAGCTCACAGGTGAAAAACCTCCATATGCGCCCTGCACTTACCAGAAAGAGGTTTTACACTTGCTGCACACTACCCTTTTGGCCTTGGGTTCCCATGCACGAATTATTATAGGACAGTTCGGGCCGGGACAAAATCTGTGGAGAAGAAACAAACATACAATCGCCTAAAACACCAGGAGAACGCCGTCTGTTGTAGTGGGACCGATCACAGACTGCATTGGTCACCTGTTCATGGGTGTTCATGAGACAACCCCACATCAGCTACCATCACCCGCCTGCTAACCGTACCACCAGCGCGGCCCCGCACGGACACCAAGGCTCAGCAGCCGCACACACCCGCACCCTGCCTGACAGAGTTGGCACTGGGCAGCGAGCCAGATCGGCCGTCTGGGAGACGGCCCGTGGCGGCCAGAGTAGGGGCCACAGCGGCGGCCAGAGCGGCGGCCAGAGCAGCGAGCCAGATCGGCCGTCTGGGAGACGGCCCGTGGCGGCCGGAGTAGGGGCCACAGCGGCGGCCAGAGCGGCAGCCAAACCAGCGGCCAGATCGGCGACCGTCGGCTGACCTGAGCTGCGGTTGAGAGCGGATGTAGTCGGCGAAGGCGTACTGCTGGTAGCGGCCGCGCAGCGCCGGCCGCGTCAGCAGCGACACCACAAAGTCCTCCGGTACCAGGATGTTGCAATGCCGCGCCATACACTCGATACCTGGCACACGTATTGATACACGAGTCGTCATGATGATGGCGAGCAAGGCGTCACAAAGTCCACGGGCGTCACGAGAAGAACGTGTGCGAATGTACAGTGTCTCTTGTAGCCAAGAACGCAATCATTGCCCTGAGCAAGATCGGGAATCTTGTGCCAACGCTAACACATGCGATTACGCACACTTGACATCTACAGAGACCGTTTTAAGATGAAGTCTCTTGAGGCGCGAGTTTGATGACGAGGAACACATCGCAAACAGAGAGCGGTTGACAACAGATCACACAAATAGGATCCACATTGGGAAGACCCGACATGATGCGGGTGCCTACGGTGACAAAAAGCACCGCGAGCGTTCTCAGGAGACCCGCGTTGCCACCACGCAGCCGCCCCTTCCGACAGTGCTCACCGAGCGAGATACCCTGCATGATCTGCGTCTCGAAGTGCATCTGCCAGCAGCCCTGGCAGAAGTGGTGGCGGCAGGCGAGCGCTCGGAACTCGCTCGACGGCTGCACGCTCGCACAGACGGGACACTCGGCCGGCGGCAGCACGGCACCGGCTGCGACGGAGGCAGCGGCAGCGGCGGCGGCGGTAGCGGATAGCGGATGGGAGGCGTGGCTGGGCCCCGGCACACAGGCGGCCGGTGCGGCCGGCGGCGGTGGCGCTGGCCGCGGCTTGATCTGCGCCTCGGCCAGCAGCTGGCTGGAGTTAGCACGGTACCGCGCCACGATCTCGGCCGCGTTCCAGCTGTTGGAGTGCAGTAACTGCTTGGCTAGCGAGGGCGTCACCTGGCAGCGGCGAGGAGAGGTAGCTCTGTCAGGAGCATGTGCTGACTAGCATGGGGGAGCGATAAGCTGTTAGTGATACCATAGCATGTGAGTATCTCAAAACAATGTGGCCTATCATGACAAACATAAAACATGGAGCTGCATATACATGGCATGGCACACATATGTGATGGTGATATATAAAAGGTGTGCTGCAAGACTGGATGCAGAGCTCATAAGTTCTCATGACATGAACATACAAAACAGATCACTTGCATACAAAAACAATCTCCTTGGACAGTCTGGACACCGAATTGGTGGGCTCACACAGCTAATGACCCATAATTCAGCATCCTGGTGCCTAAGACAATACGTCTACCTGCAACTTTCGCTGAAATGTCCTTTGTGTTGTTTTCAACCCCGATTCCAAATAAAGCCTTGAAATACACAAACTCCCGAGCATTGGGCGCACGATCCGTTCCGTGGTAAACATATTCGTGACGAAGCAGGGGAATTTTAGACTCACACAGAGTGTGCGATTTCTAACTTGTCAAAAATGACACCATACTTGTGCGCATTTTTAAGAACTGATGGAGGCTAGGAGTCACATCTGGTTAGGCCCAGACCTACGTCTGACAGAATTCGGACTTGTATGGGCGGACCCGGAGCTGTGCCTGGCCGGACCCGGACCTGCGTGTGGCCGGACCCGGACCTGTGTCTGGCCGGACCCGGACCTGTGCCTGCCGGAAACCACTGCCGGGAGGGCTCACCTGCTACAGCGCTAACCACAGCGCATAGGAAGGCTCACCTGCAGGCTGGTGCTCAGCTGCTCCACCCACTCGTTGAAGAGCCGCTCCACCTCCTCGACACTGAGACACTCGACCGGGAAGAACTCGGGGTTCTGTCGCGACGTGTCCTCCTCCAGGTCGTCACATCCGAACTGGTAGTAGTCTTGCAGCGCACTCTCGTCCTCGTCCTCGTCCTCCGAGTAGTCCATTGACGACTGCGACTCTGTTTCAGTCATCTTGAGCAGCTGCACCTGCGACACATTTACCGAAGATGTCTGGCGCTGATACTTATCTCAGAAGTAACATGAACTGTGGAGGACTCCTAAGTCAGTGGCATGGAACTCACTTACATTCTGCTGCATTTCTGGGTGCATGGACAAGGTCGTCAAGTAGCCACATGGCACATCAGGTGGGTGGTAGGATCTCCATATGAGGTGTGTTTCACTCCAGTCCAATGCACACCTGCCCTGGAATCAGCAGGATCTTGAGCCTGGATGACAAAACAAACAAGAAGCTACATGAACACTTCCATGGCTTCATAGAGAAGAACCTGGAGTGGGGGTAGGCAGAGGGGAACATGGCCCTCCTGCTGTCTGCAGAACTTAGGATCACAGCCATCATGACTCACAGGTCCATTGTTTAACAGGGTGTATGATATCCTCTAAAGGGTGCATGGCTTTGGCATGAAAGGCCTTTAATTCCTTTCTAGAAAAGTACACCTTTTCCTCAAAGCTGTGAATGCCCAAAGACCATGCAGGCTGCAGCAGCTATGGAAGAGCTGCCCTTGGTCCTGCTCATCTTGAACTGGTGAACATGCATTTCTTCCCCTTATAGTGAAAAATGAAATGATTAAAACAAATACTGTTTATTCTCCTCAATGCCTGGACCCCACTGCTATTGTTTAAAGCTTTCATGCACAACCTGTGGAGGTCAAGATAAAACCAGTTTATGAACCCAAACATGGCACATGCTGCTGATGAACATAACTATTTTACCCAAGGGAACAGCTTCAAATTTATTCATCTTGGGCAGCCTAAATATGGGGAAAATACACCATTGTCCCATCCCTTCCATCACATAAAAAACAGAACTAGAAGACATTTCAACCCAGATTCAAGTGGGTTCTTCCATCCCCATATACATTTTCTGCCCTGATACAAGCAATTTATGAAAACTCACTTCCTAAGCTAGTTTGCTCCCAATTGGATGGCACTTTCAAAAAGTGCATGAAGAGAAAATCGGCCTGTTAAATTTCTCCTTTTTCTTGCAACAAATCAGCTCACAAGGTTAACATAAGATTTTCCCACATTACAACATGGACCATGGAAGGACACCATTAGGATCTAATGCCCAGCAGCTTGTCAATGACCTGGCAGCATCCAAAAATGTAATGTCATGGTCAAGGTCCATGAAAAATGAGTTTGCCCCTCCTAGCAAGCAAGGATTAAGCAATATCATCAGTAAGGGGTAATCCTTATCCTGATTAAAATAATCATTTATGATAAAAAATTATGAAACAATTGCCAGCAATCTTTTTACAATCTGCACACTGTCCTGCCCGGCACACAATGTCCTCATCACCCAAAGTATTATATAATAATTATCACAAGAACATTCTCAAGTGCTGCACATCCACAAACTAGGTGCTACTGTGGCAATCCCATGCACAACAGTGCATGAGTTGGAGCACAGCACCTCTGCTGGGGACAAATTCCAATAACAAATAATGTTACTTAACTTTTAAGGATGACAATATGCTGGGATTTACTCTAAATTTGACCTAACCTCACCTAAAATTTATTTGTCTTTGGGTTAAAACTTCAGGGAGCCCTGCCTCATGCTTGGCTGAATTGATGACCAGTCAACAATAAGCACCATCTTTAAAAGCTTCCATACATATCATTATTACCTGAGTGCAATCAAAATTATTTTATTTCCAAGGACAAGATGGTATATTTTATTATTCTCTTATTATTGTTGGTATTATAGAGTTAAATTATAGTTATTTCTGAAAGAACACATCCATTTTAATCACAACCAACCTCCTTTCCTTCACAGACACTGGCACTGCCCAAGAGATACTAACCCTTTGCAAGCCCTCTACCCATGCCTGGCCATCATACCCTAAGATGCTTCAAAACATTGGGTGCCCACTGACATTCTATTGATGCATTCATATACTGCAATACATAAGATGCAGCTTTCCCAACTGTTCTGTGATGTGGCATTCCATGCATGCTCAGATAACACAACACCTGGTATGCTAGAACTGGGGAGGGGGGCAACAGGGTTGAGACCCTTCATGTTTTGAAAATTTACTTATGGTGCCATAGATATTGGTTGAACACAAATAATCAAAACTAGATGTTGGACCCAGAGCCTGGAAACACCTCCATTGGCCCTGCAATGCATCTTTTATTGCTGTATTTATTTCTCATGTTGTCTGAGAAAAACCATGGATTTTTAATAGTTCTCACAACACAATGCAGGCCAAGTTTTGTTTCACTGACCACAGCATAACCCAGTCTACAAACCATGGCAGATTTAAAAGACCACATTAAGGTTGGGTGAGGCATGGCTTTCAATTTGAGGCAGCTTATCAAAATACTGGGGCAGAGATTTCAGAATTGAACTGTTGAGAGCATTATGTTTTCTATGTATTATGATACACAACATTGGTAAGATCACAGAAGATAACCAAAGCCTGATGGTAAATGACTTTAGGGGCCAGCCAGCTCAACAAAATCTAACCCAAATGAAGGAGTTGTTCTGAACTTGCCCTAGTTAGGGCAAGTTTGCGCCCAACATCACGTTAAGATGTTTGCCATGGTTCGCGGACTGAATGATGATGACCTTCTCCTGTCAATGCTGTACAGATACACACATATTCTGGATTGACACGTGAATGAAGACTACAAAAACAGCACTAAAAACAGCACCTTTACCACATGTACCAATAAATCTTTATCTTTACGTACGTATTCAGCCCTTATCACCTCAGCACGACTGGATCACGTATTCACCTAGAGGGGAAACGGCGCCTCTCGCTCGTCACTGAACGTCGACAATTTACGTTTGGCACTGTCCTCCCAGCAAGCCTAGAATATGCAAAAATGCTGAAGCTAGTGTACCATGGAGCGTCGCATGGAAGAAGAGAACTAAATATTTCACTAATTTGCATCGATTTTTGTCATTTACGAAATAAATGTATGGACTGAGGTTAAAACTGTGGGCTCAAAAATCATCTTTTTGGTTTTATTTCTGGTGCGCATAGGCATTTTGGGCGATTATTGGTTCAGCCCTTCTGCGTCCTCCAATGAAATGGCAGCAATACACTGCGTCATCATTGTATAGCTATCATCGGTTTCCAGTTGTTTTCTTCCAACCTTAGACAGGAGCCAACGCTCTCACTAACTCTCCTTCCTCTGCGAGTGCTTGCGGCGGACGTGCCTGAGGAGGCGTTGTGGGGGACGCTGTGAATTTCGGCAGCTGTTATTCTCCAAGATGTGTGGCGGTTTCACCTGTTCAAAAAATGCGCTAATCGCGCTCAATATCGTATACGTGGTAAGCTTTCGGATGAGCCCGCGCGTCGGCATACATTGAGAACACAGTATGACATGCCCTGTCACCAAGATCACAAAAAAGCACACGTCACACGGAACATGTTACATGTTGCACAATGATTTTTTGAACATGTTGCACAATAATCACACCACCTTATGAGCATGTCACATGTTACATGTCGCATGTTACATGCCACATGCTACATGTTACATGTCAAATGTTATGTGCCACATGCTACATGTTACATATCACATGTTGCATGTTACATGTTTTAACATTTGCTCTAAGCTATATCTACAGTATCCCTAAATATATGTAGGGTGCTAAATACTAGATGTAGGAAGGAAAGGTCTTCAGCTCCTGGTTTTTCAGCATGATTAATTGGAAGCTGTTATGTTGAGTTAGCACCCATTTATGCATCAGGAGGTATTGGTGAAATGATGTAATGCTGTATTATAATTATATTGATGATGCTCAATATTCTTAGCTGTGCCTATTCTCCTATCTGTGTTTTCTGCTTCATGACCTATTTTTTAAGTTGGTTTGTAAATAGGCAGCACTTAATCTTTTTACACAATGCATAATGGTCAGCAGTCAAGCTGCTGCAGTGGTGTCATTGTTAAGGTGCTGCACCATGAGTGCAATGTGCATTGTTTGCAATACCTTTTATGTATTTTTTATCTAGGAACTATCAATATAGTATGTTTCCATTTGCATTTTGTGATGTGCTAGCAGGCAGGATTAACACTTAAGGATTGATGGTGCAGCAAATATCTGAATTTTGTTCCAGGTTGTGGCATTCCTCCTGATTGGTGTGGCAACATATGGGAAGACCGCCAGCATCATCACCAGCCTGAGCGTGGTGGGATGGATCGTGGCCTGCGGTGTTCTGCTCTTGTTCATTGCTGTGCTGGGCCTGGTGGGTGCTGTTAAGCACCACCAGGTGCTGCTGTTCTTCTACATGCTGGTGCTGTTCCTGCTTTTCCTGATCCAGTTCAGCGTGGCCTGTGCCTGCCTGGCAATCACCCCTGGACAACAGGAAACAGTGCTGCAGGAGAGCTGGGCTAGGTCCAGTGACAACATCAAGACCAGTGCCCAGTATACATTCCACTGCTGTGGATTCAAGGACAAGAACAACACAGCCCTGGAGAAAAAATTCCAGCATCCACCCTGCCCAAGGGTAGGTTAGCTGTAGTGTTCCTGGTTTTGATGTTAAAATAGAACACAAGATTTTTGAAGAATGAGTATGCAATCCTTGTTAAGTAATTTGTGTGATGTTAAGTCAAGCTAGTTGAGCCTTTTAAGCTAGTGAGGCTTCAGCTCCATGCCATGTGTATGTTTTGGACAGTCAGTAGTCTTGTTGCCAAATTATGACTACTGGCTCTACATTTCACTGTCCATGGTAGTGTCTATGAGATTAAAAGCCAAAATAGCTTTGCTGCATGACCTACAGCAGTTCATGTGCCCCCCTCCCCCCAAAAAGCTTTCCTGATCACCAGATCCTGGAATTATGGTCAGTCTGTCTTACTGAGGAAAAAGAGTGTGTGCATTTTAGCACCTTTTTAGGAGGGAGTTTGTTCAGCTTTCTGCTATGGCACACTATTGGTTAGCAGTACAGACTTAAGACCGGCAGTGCTGAAATCCGGCAACCAGTGAGGTGCGAGGAGGCCTTCGGCAAGGCCAAAGCCGGTTAGCAGCTGAGTAGTAGCGGTGGGCCGAGGCTGGACGACGGCGCATTGTTCGGAAGGGCGAAGGACGCTGAATTCAGGTGGTGCCTGAGCAGTGCGTTTCTTTGCGCGAGTGCGGATGTTCGTTTTTTACGTATTGAATCGGCGGAGGAAAAGAGCTTGCGTTTTTTCGCCGCGGCTCGCGGCGCTTTCGCTTCTTCTACGCTGCAGATTGAACTTCTTCCACACATGCGCGTACTTTTGAAACAGAACATGCAAAATGGGGGGCGACTAGGGCGTATTACGACAATTATATTTTAAGAAATAGCGGGAGTCTGTACTGCGAATCTGACAGTGCAAAAACCCCGTAGTGGCAACAATTTCCTTTTTGCTTGATTTCCATTGCATGGCAACAGTAATGTAATGTAATGTAATGTAATGCAATGTGGTGAAAAAGTGCTCAACCCGGCTGGGCTTGGGGACTACGAAGCCCGATGAGTTTCCCTTGGCTGCGCCACTGGCCTGGGCTGAACCCTAGCATCCTTTCCAGCAATGCTGCCCTCACTCGAGCGCTGAGACCTGCTGCATGGGCTCGGAGGACTGCGGCGGCTGCTCCACCTGCTTCGATCAGCTGAAGGACGCCATCAACTCGGGTCTGCGCGTCAGCGGCGGCATCGGCTTGTTCTTCAGCTTCACCGAGGTGAGAACGCTGGCGACTGGCCTCCAGCGCCCCGCTTCCGAGCACGCTGTCCCGACAGCGTCTGCGCCACGGCTTTGCGCGTCACGTGCTCCTCTTCTGTCTGTGTCCGCGTCCAGATCCGACTTCTCAGCAGTCTCCTATGATGTGCAGTTTGCCTTGCCTGGCGCACAGTGGACACTCATGTCATCTGTGCGTGGCTGGGTTCAGCGAAACTGGTCTGGGAGTCGTAAACAAAACAAAACAAAAAACGCTTGGAATTGGTCGACACTCTGGGGAATTACGATCGCTTGTCAGCGCAGGTCGAATCACGGCTCCATGGTGTCACTATGTCAGCAGAATGTTTCCCAACTAACAAAATTACATTTGTTCAGGCTTGTTAACGTGACATTATATTCCAGAATCAGGGGCAGTTTGTTCGGATGTGTACTCTTGGAACCGCACCATGTGGTGAAACCCAGCCGGGCGCTCATCCATGCCACATAATGACTTTGTTTAATGTGCATTTTAGATGGTAGGGTCGGCCTCCAGTCTGCCGTCAAATACCATTTAAGAACAGTATAACTATTTTGCTTTAAATACAGAGGGATTGAGTGCTGCCAATAAACTCCCTCCCGCAGTTGCAAATGACCAAGGTAGTTGACGCGCCATAAGACCACACGCACGCACGCACGCACGCACGCACACTTACGCACGCACACACGCACACGTACACACACACAATATATATATATATATATATATATATATATAAAATGCAAGAATACCATTCAAACCACACAAATGCTTTCAGTTAATATTATCTTTACATCCAGCTGCCTGGTGTCTAGCCGCGCGCGTATTTTGGTGTACAGATGTGGCCTGCTTCATTCGTGCCTAAATGCACAGATATACAAGCGAAGCAGTATCTCCTAGTTCGCGCGGGTTTTCACCGGCGTCTAACGTAGCTTACTGCTTGGTATCAGGGATATCCTCTCCCGTCGTTGTGCCGGTATAGTGTCCTCAGTGTCCTTGTCCCTATGTCTTTGACCTCTGCACTGACTCTCACTCCGGTTGCAGCCAATCCGGGGTCGTGTCGCATGTCTCTGACGTCATCACGCACTTACGCTGTGTGTTTGCGTTTGGCAGTCGGCCTAACCATGCACATCGGCCCTACTAACCCGTGCCCCGACCACTCTGGGTTTGCAGTTTTTCGGCGTGTGGCTGACGGTCCGCTACCGTAACCAAAAAGATCCGCGCGGCAACCCTAATGCGTTCCTATAGGTCGTCCGCCTGGCCGGCCCCAGGTACGGCCGTCTGTGCTGACCTGGCGTGTCTCCTGTGTCCTGTGCAGACGGCTAGAGGATGCAGAAATCCGCCAGACAGCGTGCTGAGAGCGGGCGAGAGAGAGAGAGCGAGAGAGCGGGAGAGAGAGCGAGAGAGCGGGAGAGAGAGCGAGAGAACGGGAGAGAGAGCGAGAGAGCGGGAGAAAGAGCGAGAGAGCGAGAGAGCGGGAGAGAGAGCGAGAGAGCGGGAGAGAGAGCGAGGGAGCGGGAGAGAGAGCGAGAGAGCGGGAGAGAGAGCGAGAGAGCGGGAGAGAGAGCGAGAGAGCGGGAGAGAGGGCGAGAGAGCGGGAGAGAGAGCGAGAGAGCGGGAGAGAGAGCGAGAGAGCGGGAGAGAGGGCGAGAGAGCGGGAGAGAGAGCGAGAGAGCGGGAGAGAGAGCGAGAGAGCGGGAGAGAGAGCGAGAGAGGGAGAGAGCGAGAGAGAGGGAGAGAGGGAGAGAGCGAGAGAGAGGGAGAGAGAGGGAGAGAGCGAGAGAGAGGGAGAGAGCGAGAGAGAGGGAGAGAGCGAGAGAGAGGGAGAGAGCGAGAGAGAGGGAGAGAGCGAGAGAGAGGGAGAGAGCGAGAGAGCGAGAGAGGGAGAGAGCGAAAGAGCGAGAGAGCGAGAGAGCGAGAGGGGAGAGAGCGAGAGAGCGAGAGAGGGAGAGAGCGAGAGAGAGAGAGCGAGAGAGAGAGAGAGCGAGAGCGAGAGAGCGAGAGAGCGAGAGAGCGAGAGAGCGAGAGAGCGAGAGAGCGAGAGAGAGAGAGAGAGAGAGAGAGAGAGAGAGAGAGAGAGAGAGAGAGAGAGAGAGAGAGAGAGAGAGAGAGAGAGAGAGAGAGAGAGAGAGAGAGAGAGAGAGAGAGAGAGAGAGAGAGAGCATGGCTTTTGTGGTGTTTTGCTTATCGCCAACGCTAGCTGGCATTGCTTGCGGCCGTACGCTTGGCCTGGTCGGTGCTTTGGCTTAGTGGGAGTCAGCTTGGCCGACTTGTTGGGCCAAAAGTAGGTCTTACAGATCTTCTGCGGTGTTTGGAGGTGCCGTTCTGCTTGGCTTGCTGGCATTCGGTGCTAGATACGTTTTGGGTCGCATGCTATACTGTTCTGTCCAGTGGTGTATTTTGCTAGGATTGCAGTCTGCGTTGGGTTGTGTAACACTCTTCTGGTTTATAGAACGCTGGGGAGTTACGACCATTTAATTAACATACTGATATCCATTAAGACCATTTGGGATGTAACGGAAGCTAGCGAGACGGTGTAGATTGAACATGGACTGTTCCCGTATGTGGTGCGGCAACGCGGCGCGGCGGCATCGGCTGGCTCGGTGTCCATGAACCAGCACACACGGGTCTGCATACTTGAGGGTGTTGAGCGCAGTCAATAGCATTGCGAAATACGCAAGCATGAGGTCTTGACCTGCGCAGTGGTTGCGTTATCGGGTCGTGGTCGCGCCCCTGTGCCGCCTCCGGTCTGTGCGCGCCACTCCCCAGCACCGACCGCTCACGGTGTCGCTGCACGCCGGTCAGCGCCGCGCGCCGGCCGGTGGGGTCGCTGGTCGCGCGGCTCGCACCGGCCCGCCGGCACCACGGCACCGCGCCCCGTGACGCTGCCGCCGCCGGCCCACCGACCCGAGCCTATCGCTGTTTGCCCCGCCGGTCCGCGCCGTAAAGATTATGGTCGGCCGGCGGAGCGGGGCGCGCCGCTTTGTGGCGGCGGGCGCGAATCGATCGAGTGCGCGCCGAGTCCAGCGGGGGCGTCGGCGCCCGGCCGCTGCTGCGTCGTTATCGGGCCCGATAGCAGCCCAGCACCCCGCGCGGCGTGCCGGGCCGGCGCAGCGGCGAACACTGACGGCGGCGGGCCACCTTTCAGATCATCGGCTTCGTGCTGGCCTACCGCTACCGGAACCAGATGGACCCCAGCCGCGGCCAGACGCTGGAGTAGCGGCGGACGGCAGCCGGCGCGGCGCGGCGCGCGCAGTCGGACGCCGCGGCGGGCGGCACTCGGCGCACCTGTGGCGCGGCCGACCCCGCCCCTACTCTGTAGCCCGCTCCCCTCAACGCATCCACAGCCACAGACATACGTCACGCATACCTCGATATACCGGACAGCGCTCTGCGGGCCGCGGTGCGCCGGTCGCCCCCCCCCCCCCCCTCCCACGCCCACCCACACACTCACACACTCAACTCAGGGGGCGGCGACCGGGAGCGTGATCTCCGCTGGTCCGGCGCGGGCAGCTCCAGCCGACCGGCGGCAGCAATACCGGAGCCACCACCGCCGCAGCCCACCGCGCCGCGACCAGCCGGACGCCGTTAGCCGGCTGCATACCGAAGTAGATTAGTGTGGGGCATGCGTGCGTCTCGTTCGTTGCGTTCATGGGACTCACGGGCGGCTGCTATGTACAAGCCGATCAGCTCGACTTAATGTTGTTCGTTGTGATAGGGGAAGTGTTTTGTTTCCGGCCACGCCGGTTGCTTTGGGGTGTGTTGGGTTCGGGCTCGGTGGGGCTGGTTCATCGTGCCAGGCGTACGGTCTTAGGCTAAGCGCAATCGTGCTGTTTTGTCCGGCTTGTTGCAGGCACATCATATATTTATTTAGAGTTAATAAATGTACCCATCGTGACCACGGTGTCTGACTATTTGCCGTGCCGCGCCGCAGCCATGTGACCAGCAATGCTTCATCATCACAGCTTTCCTGTAGCCGCTGGAAGAGTGCGATCCGGTGTGCGGTAGGAGATCTTGGCTTCCGGCGCTAGTCCCCCTGCAGTGTGTTTGTCTTAGCCTTAGCTATCACGCGGGCTCGTTCGTTTCCTGGACGTCGTGACTGGGCTCTTGCCGCAAACACAGAGCGAGGAGGGGGAACGGCGACAGGTGGTTGGGGTCACAGGCTGCCACAGGGTGCGGGAACCCGGTACTGCCACACCCCATACCGACGTCAGACAGCACACAGACCGCCAGACAGCGCGACCGTTTGGGGCCGCCAGACAGTGTGACAGTCACGAACCACCCAAACAGCAAGACATTCATGGTCCGCCAGACAGCGCGACGCAGTCGCGGACCGCCAGACAATGCGACGCATTCATGGACCGCCAGACAGTACGACGCAGGCATGGACCGCCAGACAGTACGACGACAGTCACGGACCGCCAAGCAGCTCGACAGTCACGGACGGCCAGGTAGCACGACACAGTCACGGACCGCCAGAAAGCGCAAGTCACGGACCGTCCAGACAGTGCGACAACCATGGACCGGTAGACAGCGGCAACACACCAACCCGATTTCCGTCATTGTATGGCAACGACCGATACAAATCCAACGAGCATGGCAAAACCCCGAAGAATGTCTGCTCCAGCAGTTAACAGATCCCACGGCCGTTAGTGCAATGCATTCAGTGCCATGAGGCCGCGCACCACGCTGCCCTGCACGGCCGGCTGGGCTGACCCCACGTCAGACTCGTCGCCTGATCCGCAGTCAAACCATATCAACCGACCAGTCCCAACCACAGCTGAGGATCAGCCACATCAACGTACAACCACCGACGAGGAAGCCGGACGAGATTAACTTGCTGCTGAGCGAACATAGGTTGGACGGTGGATGTCGGAGACATGGCTCACGCCCGACATTGCCACTAGCTCTGTCATTCCTCGGGAAGTGCTCAGGAAGAAAAAGCCGCGCTAAGCGTTTCGTTGGCGGAGCACTCTGGACCGGGTGGAAATACGAAGAGAGCGACCGAACCTGCAGGAAAAGGGGCCGATGGGGATGGGATGGCTCGCGCACACGCGGCGTGGTCCCTCACCGGCGTCAGAGGGCGTGGCGTACCGCCCACCCGGCAGCCCGCAGGGCGCGAGGCTGAACAAACTGCGGGATGGTGTACTGTGCTCCCACAGACAGTCTTCCGAGGCCATCAGCATCAACATCTTCAACGAAAATCCCGGGTGTCCAGCACTGCCTCAGTTTGACCTGTGACCTGATCATTGATCATTGATCGGCGGTCTGCACGTGCCGCGGCTGGTGGATGAGCCCATCGACCTTCTTTCTTCAGCCGGGGCACCTGACCCACGCGATCCGTTATGAAATCGACCCGCCAACAACAGTCACTGTCCTCCCTATACCCTCGGTGGCCATTAACCCAGGACCGCCACTGTTGGGCTGAGCAGAGCGAGACAGGCAGCCCAGAAACCTACGACCCGTGGCTAGCTCTGGGCCGATTGGGACGCCATCTGCCTGTATCTATTCGCCCCTCACTGAGGGGGGGGGGGGGGGCTGCAGGACACCAATGGTGTAATTGTGATGGTAACGACATTGGTGAAAACACGGATCGTTATGGACGGCCACTCTCCGTCAACAGCAGTTCGCGTCCAGTTCAGTTCAGTTCACAACAGAGCCGGCCCAGCTGTCCCGGTGGCACAATAATCACCGCGGTCTCCGTTGGCCAAGCGGGGCGCAGCGAGGGGCACTGGCTGGCTCGGCACGACCCAATATCACACCGCTTCGAAACAGCGGTCAGTGCGACATCCTAGCTGCTAGACGCGATTGCCGCTCTGGCGTTTCCTCTTTCACACGATTCGCCAGGTCAGCAGACCGAGGAGACCAGACCAAGATCCGGACCTGGCCGGCGGGCTCCGTCGTCTCTGTGCGACGGTCGGGCCCGGATTGCCGCCACGCAGTGAGGGAACACCGATCAGTCACCCGACCGCCGACAGCCCGCACGAACTCCTCCACTTTCAGGACTGCCACCCTCCGAGCCCACACGGCGGAGGCACAGACCGTCGAACGGCACGACAGTCGCAGAACACCACACCGTGCGGTGGCGTCGCTACACACCCTCCCGCCTCCGCGGCGCCGTCCCCGTCCCGCCGGGGGCTGGCCGCGGGCGGGCGGCGGCGCGAGCACGCTGGGTCGATGTGCCGGTCGGAAGAGAGAACGCAGTCCGCGGTAATGCTGGCGGCCCGACCTCGGGCGTCACGTGCGCGACCGCAACGCAGACCAGACGCCGGCGGCGGCAGCTGCCGGGCTCGTGCCACTCACCAGCGAAAGCAAACACCGGGATGCGAAAATGGGGCTTTATTCCCCCACGTGTCACAGCCATGCTACAATGCATACAAAATCACAGCCCGCTATCACAACACAGATCCCGTTCATCGGCAAGGGCGCATTCGGGCGGGCCGTCCCAGCGCCATCATACAGCGATGGCACCGTCGTGTAGACCAAAAGCTCAGTGTAAAGATAATCGTACCCCACATTGTACAACAATCGCAAAACCCATTAAACATGTGTCACAAGCGCTCTGGAACAGCGTCCATAACCCCAGCATCTCTGGACTGCGGTGACGTATGGCCGGCTCCTACTGACGTTCGGCATGTGAACCCCAAGGCGCTTTTTGCCAGAAGTCAACCGGTTGACCTGCAAAAATAACACTTTATGTCAGGCATCACCAAGCAGCCCAATTTCTGCTGGGTTTACAAAACGTCGTTGTCGTTACTTTGCGCGGACAAAAGGCCACTACTCCCAAAAAACACGGTGATGACGGCAGTTACACGTTTAAAATGCGGGACGAGACAAAGCGACCGAGAGAGCAAGATCCTCCGACGCAACACTACACTTCTGTCACAACGCCAGCAGCGAGTGTGTCACAGGCCCCAGGGATGTCTGGGGCCGCAGCTGAGACGGCCGGGCCGTCGCAAACCTCCTATGGGGCTGTGCCGCTGTCCTGTCCCCCATCTGACCATCGAATCTGGCCAGGGAGGGTTCCGGCGGGAGGCGGGCGGTGGCCGCGGGGGTGAGGTCCTACCTGGGCCACCGGCGCGGTGAGCTGCAGCCGGACCCGGGCGCCGTCCGTCCTGGGCCACTCCGGCTGACCGGCGGCCGCCTGGGGTCACGGGTCACGTGTCAGCGGGTCAGCGAGTCACGGCAGGCGTCACGCCAGTCACGCAGGACAGATTCCCGTCACCACCCCCTCCGCATGCCGATACATGGACGTACATCAGACCTAGTCAGCACGTTATCGTAAATCAAGACGGAACGGCGCTGTTGGTGGCGAACGCATCCAGTAAAGGCAGCTGGGCATTGCTTTTCGGTGGCTGCTGGATATCAGATCGTATCTGCGCCAATATTACCTACGTAGAAGCTTTGCGTGGTGAAGACAGACCGTAAGACCCTGCTCTTTTGTTTTTTTCAACGCAACTGACGACACTTTTCAGTGGCAGCGACAATCCATGACCTTTAGTACACTGGGAAAGAGGTATCACTATCATCAATGAAGAGGGGGCCATGCTGACATGGTCCGCCATGACACACTACATGTTCCTTGACAGCAGCGCTCCCCGCAGCCGCCGCGAGCGCGTCGCTTCAATGGTCTGACGTTTAACGTTGCATTGCAAATCATTTCAATACAATCCTATATTCGTTGTCTGTTCAGCAATGCCTTCCGATATGTTGATAGCTGTGCGGTGATGCTTCTGTCACTTAGAGGTGTCATTGTTCTTATCAATAATGCCGATCGAAGCGTAGGTTAAGTGTGAGCCACCCACTGGCCCATTCCCGCAAGAACACGCTGGCAGTTGCTCTGGTGGGTTCTCATCCCTCCCGACCGTTGGCTGGCCATATCACTCACGGGCAGCACGTACCTTTGGTGACGATGCGTTGCAGCGACAGCGATTCCAGCGAGACCACTTCAAATGGACAATGCAGCACCTAGCTAGGAAGCAGAGCGCGAGTGAAACTGGGCTACAGGAGAGACAAAACGCCTTGAACGGTGACGACGGCTGCGGAGATATAGGTCTGCAAAACAGCGCACATACCAGTCGTACACTACCAAGAAGCCCGGTAGCCCCTGTGCGAGCATCAAAAAGGCGGACATCACGGCCAGTGACTGGAACACACCTGATACGCCACAGCATCAGCGGCAGCGCTGCCTACACGGCCGCAAGTGACTGCTATTGGTGCGGGGCTCGAGCCCGGTGCAGGATCCACCCGTTTTGCGTACAAGCGGAGCAGACGGAAGCTCAACCGGCGCCTGACCGCTAGCGGCACATCGCGGTCACGTCGGAGCTCGCCTGCCCCGCCAGAGAATGCGGTGCGGCGATCTACGTCAGCTATGGCCGACTAGCATTCACAGATCGGCGACTAGAATTGTTACCGATGCGAAGGCGTGGTATACAAGAACTCTAAAGAATGTAAAGAGGATGGATTGAGCGGAAGAGTAATGACAAGCATCTGCGTTGCCACCGAAGCTGTATCGGGAGCAGCTTGATCAAAAACAACTCTAGACGAGCGGTCTCAAACACTAACAGCGCAGCACCACGGCAGTGGCACGACCTCCGCGCAGAGGAGGCTCCACCCACCTCGCACGAGACGGCGTGGAGATCGACCAGTAAAACAGCCGTTCCTATTTAGTTTGCACAACAAACCCCTTCGTGGAAAATCTCTACCGCGAACATTTGGCAGCGCGTAACTGACATATTGGTTCTTGAATGTAGCACTTTGTGCACATTCATCAGAGCACTTTTTCATGGTGAAATTGATTTTTACTGGCAACGGACATGCACCAGCCCAATGGCCAAAAAGGCTGAAAGGCAGAAAATATGTCATTGATCTTGATATCTGCTGTACAATTGAAGTGAA